TCCAATTGCATGGCCATGGAGGAGCATGCTGTTTGAAATAAGAAATGTAATTGTCCCAGAGGATTTTATCTTAACAATAAATACATGCTCTGGTTTATCATTCATAAAAAATAAAAAAATAAAAATAAAATCCAAACTTGATGGCCTTCAAGAACCCATGCAGATCAGGAGTCAAGTAATTCAGTGAATGAAATACCAGATGATAAGAGATGATGGAGCCTCCTACGAACTTGAAGAGTGCTGTTGGGTCTGAAGAGCCTGGCCTCTTCAACACCATCTAAACCTTCTTGTCTTCTATGGGCCATGTACACTGGTCTCTTTTAGTTTCCTCAAACCCACCAAACCCCTGTCTTGCTCAAGGCTTTTGCATTAGCTGGCTTCTCATTCTTTAGGGCTCAGCTCAAAGGTCACTTCCTGAGAGGCCTTCCTTGATCAGTTTACCTCAGTCTTCCTCTCGATTACATCACTTCATTTCTTTTATGTATAGCAGTCACCTCTACCTAACAAATAAATTATGTTATTTGTGTGCTAGTTCATTGTTTCCACTAATAAAGTATAAGCATCTTGACACGGGAATTAGTCTTGTTTACGGATGGCCAAGTACAGTGCCTGGCACATGGAGGGTGTCAACATTAACATTTATTGAATGAATAAATGAACACCAGATGCTGGGACTAAAATGGTAAACAAAGTCCCCGCCTTTATGGAGCTATGGGGGTACTCTGACGATAAACATAAATAATTAAGCAAACAACAGGCCATTCAGGTGGTTTAGGGTCTACCAACCAACTCCCAACCCAGGGCAAATGAGAGAACTATGTTGATGTAACCTTTTACTGAAGAAGGATTTGGATAGGGACGGCAATTAGCTGCATCAAGCCTCATCAGCTAGGATTTAGGGACAGGATATAAATTTTCGAAGTGGTCCTAGGCGTGGAGATACAGGGCGGACTATGATTCAGGCCTGGGGATGTAGAGGTGTCTTGGACTAGGCTGTTTTCCACGCGAGCAAAACTCCAGAACCTTCTTTAGGTAGCAGAGCAGACCCTAGGACCCTGGCCCACGCCGCCGGGGGTTAGGTCGGCCAGCCTCCCTGCTCTTGCCCCCTACGCCCCCCAGAGTACTCACCGCCACTCTCTCCGACTGCTAGCTACCGTTGCTATAGCGCCGACGGCGTGTTTGGCTGGGCGAGAGGAGCACGGGAAAACATGACTTAGCCCCGTTGCCACCTGGGAAATGTAGTTCTCCTCCGGCCCCAGCTCGCCTGCTCGCTGGGTAGCGGACTACGCTCGCCCAGCTGTCGACCCTGATAAATTCTCCGGCTCGAAACCCAGAGGCGCGCTACGGCGTCGCCGCGGTGCATCGTGGGAGTGCTAGTTTTCGGGACTCCAAGGGAGAATGGCGTCGGGTGGGAACAGGACACTGAGAGAACTACATGCAGGAGGCGGGGGCCGGGGCGAGGGATCTACGCGGCTTGTGGTGGCGAAGGCGGCTGTAGCAGCAGCATGAAGCGAACCCAGACCGCCGAGGAGCGAGAGCGAGAAGCTAAGGTATGTAGAGCTCCGCAGGATCTGGAGTCTTTAGTGCCTTTGGAGATAGGAGCAGAGAATCAGAAGGGCAGGGTTTGATGGCGAACGGACCGATGGTCTTAAGCCAAAGGATGACAGGGCCTTGTCAGCAAGGGAGCTGGAGACATGGGCGGGGGGGGGGGATGGTGGTGGTTATAAATTCTTGCTGCTCAGGGTGCAGGCCGAGTCCTGTTGGGCTAGCTCAACAATGAGGACTAAGACACTCATTCCTTGTCCTGCCTTTGCCCCTGCTTCCTTGGTTAAAATTATGGCCATCCTTGTGCCTCAGTTTCCCGGGCCCTCAGACGACTGTGTTCATAACCAGCTATGCTTTCTCACCGGTAGTGGTCTCTGAGGACTGAGATCGGCTTAGATGAAATAGCTGTGAGGTCAGATGTGTTTATATTTGGAACGGTTGTCTCAGTGGCGGCTGATGTATTTATTCTGTCTTCAGCACAGTGGGTATGGATGTTTATGTTGCTGTTCTCTACCTTTTTCAACCTGTGGGGGTTGTCATTGCGTGGGATGACAATAATAAAACAATGGCGATTTTTTTTAGCACTTAATTGTGTGCCAGGCACTGCCTGCCTTAGATGCGTTATATATACATCATAGCAGATTGCAAGGTAGATATTTTACAGATGAAGTATCAACAGTCCGTTTTTACAGGTGAAGAATTGCAGCTCAGAGTAGTTGAGTGTTTTCATCCTTTTCCTTACTCCCAAAACCAAGTCCTATTGAATTGCATAAATATTTTGGAAATCTGTCCACTTTTTTCCATCTCCACCACCTTGGATCAAGCTACCATTATCTCTTTAATGGACTGTTGCAATAGCTTTCTTATTATAACTTGCTGTACACTCTGCCAACCACCTGTTTAAAAATCTTCCATGGCCTTCTGTTGTTCTTAGAATAAAGACAAAACTTCGTATGATCTTCAGGGTCCTTCATGCTTTGGGTACTATCTGCTTCTATAGCCTCATCAGACGTGACAGTCTGCCTGCTCACTGCCCATCAGCTACTGTGTTCTTAACAGTCCCTCCGTCCTGTGCTTCATCTGGTCATAGGGCCTTTGCACATGCTACTTGGCGCTACTCAATGTCAGGCAAATGTTGACAGTGAGGAACCAGTGGTAGATAAAATAGACACATTTCTTGCTCTCATGCAATTTAGAATCCTATAAATAAGTCTGTGTTAGGGCAATACCCCAGTGAATTTAAAATATGTAATAAAATCTGCTATATAATGGCCTGAGTTACAGCAAAGTTTCACCAAGGTCCTGAAGTTTCCATGCTTCAGTCTGCATCTGATATGGGCTAAAGATGGGAACAAAGTAGAAGACCCTTCTGCATTAGTCTACAGAAGTGCAAAGAATCAAAAATGTAGTCACCTGTTGGCATTGTGCATCATGTCTCACCTTTCAGGTTTATTTTTAAAGTTACTTACTTATTCTATAAAGGTTTATTGAGCAGCTATTATTCGCCAGACGTTGGGATTATAGTTTTGGCTAAAAGGTAATCCCCGCTCTGAAGGAGCCCTTATTCCATTGAAACTGTAACTATTGCCTATGAGGTAGTTATTAATATTCTCATTTTACAGATGTGGAAACTGAGGCTTGTAGAAGTTGTGACTTGCCCAGTTCTACTTGGTCGCTAAGTGGGACTCAGGCTCAGAACCAGGTCTTTTGATTCCAAAGCTTTTTTTATTTTCTGTTTATGAAAATAAATATGTTGGATTGATAGAGCAAGTTGCCTTCTTGGCTTTAAAACATTTCTTTGATCTTTTTTAAAAGACTTATTTATTAATAAATTTTATTATAAAAAACACAGTATAGCAGGTAAGTGTTAAATCTTAAATAGAAAATGTCCAATTACTTATGAATTATTTTTCTTTTCCTAATCAACTTTATTGAGGTATAATTTACGTATAATAATTTGCATCTGTTTATAGTGTACAAGTTGATAATTTTGAGATCCCTGGGTCATGCAAATGGTTTTATTTCAATCACTAGTGGCACAGTGGTTAAGAGCTATGGCTGCTAATCAAGAGGTCAGCAGTTCAAATCCACCAGGACTTCTTGAAAACCTTATGGGGCAGTTCCACCCTGTCCTATAGGGTCACTATGAGTCGGAATTGACTTGATGGCAACGGGTTTGGGTTTTGGTTTTTAACGTAAAGGTTGGTGGTTTGAACCCACTCAGTGGTGCTACAGAGAAAGGCTTGGTGATCTGCTTCTGTAAAGATTATAGCCAAGAAGACCCACTGGAACAGTTCTATTGTGTAACATCTGGCGTTGCCATGTGGAATTGATTCAATGGCAAGGGATTTTTGTTTGTTTGTTTGTTTGTTTCATACACCTGCAAAACCAAAACCACATTGAGATAGAGAACATTTCTATCCCTTCCAAAATTTTCCTCTTATTCATTTGCAGTCATTCCATCCCTCAACCTTGGCCCCCAAGCAACCACCGATAGTTTTCTGTCACTAAAGATGAATTTCATATAAATGGAAGCATACTGTATGTACTCTTTGGGTCTGTCTTCTTTCGCTCAGCATAATGATTTTTGAGATTTATCCGCGTTGTTGCACTTATCAGTAGTTTGTTCCTTTTTATTGTTGAATAATAGTCCACTGTGTGGATATACCACATACTGTTTACTCATTCACCTACTGCTGAACATTTAGATGTTTTCTGGTTTCGGGCTGTTGTGAAAAAAGCTGCTAGATATGACTGTTCACGTATAAGTCTATATGTTTTCATTTATCTTGGGTGAATACCAGCGTGGAATGGCGGAGCCATGTGGTAGTTCTCTGTTTAACCTTACAGGAAGCTGCTAGATAATTTTCCAAAGTAAATTTACCATTTTTGCTAGTTTCCTAAGGCTGCCACAAGAAATTCCCACAGCCTTGGCTTAAAACGACAGAAATTTATTCTCTCACAGTTCTGGGGGCTGGAAACCTAAAACCAATATGTTGCTTGGGCCATGCTTCCTCTGAAGGCTCTAGGGAAGAATCCTTCCTTGCTGCTTCCAGCTGCTGGTGACTTCTGGTGTTCCTTGGCTTGTGGTAGTGTAATTCTTACCTTTGCCTTTGTCTTTACAAGGCTTCTCTGTATCTCTGTGTTTCAAATCTCTTTTTTCTTTCACTTATAATAACACTAATCATTGGATTTAGGGCTTACACTAAATCCAGGATGATCTCTTCTCCAGATCCTTAACTTCCTTACATCTGCAAAGACCTTTTTTTTCCAAATGAGATAATATTCACAGGTACTAGGGGTTAGGACTTGGACATATCTTTTCTGGGGACACTGTTTAACCCAGTACATCATTTAAAATTTCTACCAGCTTTGTATGAGAGTTCTAGTTGCTCCATATCCTTGTCAACACTTGATATGGTCAGCCATTTAAATTTTAGCCATTTTATTGGGTATGTGGTGGTATCTCATTGTGGTTGTAATTTGCATTTCCATGATGAAAAAAAAATTTGTTTTGGACATTTCATACACCTGCATCATAATATGTGGTCTTTCATGTTTGGTTTCTTTCACTTAACATAATGGTTTTGAGATTCATCCATGTTGTAGAATGTATCAGTACTTCATTTCTTTTTATTGCTGAATATTATAGTATTTCAGTGTATGGATATACTACTTTTTTTTTTTTTAATCCATTCACCAGCTGATGGACATTTGAGATGTTTCCACTTTTTGGCTGTTATGAATAATACTTCTGTTAATGTTCTAGTACTAGTTTTTGTATGGAGTCTGTTTTCTTTTCTCTTGGGTAGATACCTTGGAATGGAATTGCTGGGTCACATGGTAAATCCACATTTAACATTTTAAGAAACTGCCAAACTGTTTTCCAGTGTTGCTGTAAGATTTTACATTCCTACTAGCAATGTTTGAGGATTTCAAGTTCCTCATATCCTCAAAACACTTGTTATTGTCCGTTTTTGATTATAGACAGCCTAGTAGGTGTGAAGTAGTATCACATTGTCCTTTTGATTTGCATTTCCCTAATGGCTAATGATGGTGAGCATGGTTTCATGTGCTTACTAGCCACGTGTATGTCTTCTTTTGTGAAGTGTCTATTCAGCATCTTTTGTCTATTTTTTTTTGGGGGGGGGTTGTTTGTGTTTTTATGAGTTCTTTATATTTTCTAGCTATAAATCCTTTGTCAGCTATATATATTGCAAACATTATCTCCTATTCTTTTAGTTTACTTAATGGTGTCTTTTGAAGAGCAAAATTATTTTATTTGATAAAGGTTCAGTGTGTTGATTTTTCTTTTTATGGTTCATGCTTTTTGTGTCATGTTTCTGAAATCTTTACCTATCCCAAAGTAGCAAAGATTTCTTGTTTGCTTTTAAATTAAATGTTATTGAAAAGGCAAACATAATGTAGGAGCCTTGGTGGTGCAGTTAAGCGCTCGGTTGCTAACTGAAAGGTCGATGGTTTGAACCCACCAGCTGCTCTGTGGGGGAAAGATGTGGTGATCTGCTTGCATAAAGATCACAGACTTGGAAACCCTATGGGGCAGTTCTACTCTGTTCTCTAGGGTCTTCATGAGTTGAAGGACTTGACGGCAACAGGTTATCTCCATAATGGATAATTACTTTTGGTTTTCCTTTTCTCTTTGAAATAGCTTAATTATATTTTCTTCCCTGTGATTGCTGATGCTACAGACTTGTATACAGTCTCCAAGTCTGGAGGGTGAATAAGAGGGTTAGACTAAATATTATCTAACTTTCCATGATAACATTTGTTTAATTTGTGTTAAAGCATAAAAGATCACCACAGCATATTCTTGCATCTTTGAAATGAATTTTTCTTGTTAGACATGTAAATGAAACAGTCCGGATTAGTATTAGATGGCCTGAGTTAGAACCATGGCCTCTACCATTTCCTTGTTGGGGGAAAAGAGTGAGGCACTCTGAGCCTCAGTTTCTCCAGCCAGAAAATGGGGTCAAGAACAGCTGCC